ATTTAGCACTGTATTATCTTTTACTCAGTGTTATTAATTCACCCAACAACTATTGACCAAGAACCTCTTAACTTCCCAGCGCAGTTTGGTGCTGTGGGAAGTACCACAGAGGTAACAAGAACAATACTTTCCTTCATGTTACATATAATTTAACAAAATAAACAAGAAAACCTCAAGTAATAAAAGAGCCTAATGATTACTCAAGTCAATTCTGTCTGAAGGCCCTTGAAAAAGCTTTTTGGAGATGTTAGTGTCACCAGGAAGTCAGCAGGGGGCACTTCAAACATATCTTGTGCTGAGTCTGACTTAGCTCACTTTCAGCTTAGGGCTTTGATGTTTTGTCTGAAGTTACCTCAGAATGTGAAGCCCTAAGGGAAAAACACTGGTGGTCTTACATATTCAAGTCATGAATTAAGTCTCAAAAAAAGTGTTCTTTTATTTCCTACATGGATTTAAATTTTAAGTTTTCTTTTTTTGAAAAAAATTTAAAATAAAACTACTTATAAATGAACATGGATTATAAGTCCAGTAGGTTATTTGTGGGGACATTCCTTTTTTGTTTTTATGACCTGTCTTCTAGAAAAGACTTACATCCTTCCCCCTTCAGCCAGTCACAGTTCTGCTGTGACAGCATCTATCTGGTATGTTCTGATGTGTCTCCCTCAACATAAGGCCTTGTTCCAAGACATGCCATTGAAATGCATTGGCTTTTGTTATTGTTGTTCTCTCTTTCTTTTAAAAATTATCTTTTATTTCTCTTCTGAACTTTATTTAGAAAAATCTTTTAATGCTAATGTTAAAGCATTAATGATTTTAATGATTTATTTATTTTTATTTTTATTTTATTTATTTTTTGTTTGCTTTCTTTTGTTTTTAGAATAAAGGAAGGGTAGAATATCCCCAACTCAAGAAAACTAAAATCCTTAAACTGTGTCTGGATTATTTAACACCATACCTCTATTGTTTGAAGCAATTCTTTCCACACTCCACAATTCCTTCACCCCAAAGCAAAGAAAGTAACACTGGTTCCTTTATTCAAACCTGGTAAAGGAAGGAGACAGTAGCAAATTGGCTAAATATAATATTTATTTGTAGTTTATATTACAACATCCACTTTTATATACAACATCCACTTTACCAATGGAGAGCTATACTCTCTGAATTTAGCCATCTTTTGAACTGCTACTTGGAATTTCTTCAAAATAGCTTTGCTAGGTAATAAATAAAAGAAGTCTACAAGACCAGCATCCCCACTTAACAACTGCCCAGTAGGACAACTCCAGTCTCAGGCACCACATCCCAGACCTATGATCTCAACTTCATCCTCACTCTCACTGTCACATCACCGTCCTTGACAGATGCAACTTGTACTCCTCCCTGTCTACAATTTAATGGTTAAGTGGCACTGGAAAAGTCTTTTATGACCATTTTTGGTTAACATTTTGGTTTTATTTTTTCTTATTAAAAGTCAGTAGACTTCAAGTACTTTTTGTATTTATAAGTTTATATTTACATATATTTATTTATTTAAATATATTTATATATATTTATTTTCATTAACCAAGTTCTTTTCTACATTAAATGTAATTTTTGTGATAGAGACCAGATCTACTTCAGTACAGATGTTCTTTTAGACCCTAGACATTCCATCATATTTTAATGTAACAAAAAAATATGCAAAAAATATATGCCTTAAATTATGCATGTACAACACACATCTGCTTCTCAGCCTTTCCTAGCTTATAATTGCAGCATGATTAACATATAACCATCAAATACATTTTTTTCTTTCTTGGGATTGCCAAAGAAAAAAACGTATTTTTTTTTTTTAATTTTTTCAACGTTTATTTATTTTTGGGACAGAGAGAGACAGAGCATGAATGGGGGAGGGGCAGAGAGAGAGGGAGACACAGAATCGGAAACAGGCTCCAGGCTCTGAGCCATCAGCCCAGAGCCTGACGCGGGGCTCGAACTCACGGACCGCGAGATCGTGACCTGGCTGAAGTCGGACGCTTAACCGACTGCGCCACCCAGGCGCCCCGAAAAAAACGTATTTTATGACTTGTGGTTACTGTTATTTATTCTTCCTTGAGTTTCATCTTCCCTCAATTGTGCAATGGGAATATTATTAAGTCCAGGGTATTTTTTTGTAGTGATTAAACACAGAAAGGGTTGTAAAATGCTCAGTGTGTGCAAATAGTCCCTTAATCTAAATAATAGAGGATATGCAGACAGAACTTCACTACTGGAGTTTCTGGTCCTTTTTTTAGGTATGCCCATTGAACTTTTTATTTACATTATTTTAAACTTACACTAGGAGCAAGCGTCGTGCTGTTGAGTGCTGGTTTGTCAAACGTTTATAAAAAGTTTAGCTTTTTTAATCTGAAGCTTTTAAAATCTGTTATAAAGGAAATGCCAATTATGGAAACAGTCATGCGTCATGCTATGGGTAATCAAATAACTTTGCTGACGTTTGGGCTAGGCATTTCACTGAGGCACTTTGCTAACATGTGGAGACCAACTTGGGCCTCCTCAGAACAACTCAGGCCTTGAGAACAGCCAATCAGGAGAGCGCGTTGCCACCACACCCACCTGTCCACTGCTTGTCCACTGATTGGAGCCAACTGTCTCCTTTTTTACCAGGCTGAATTGCTATGAGTTCATTCTTCCTGGAAATCTCTGCAACTCTTGTAGACATGCAGCATAACAGCACAGGCAGCTCCAAATCTGGTGTCATGTTTATTTTATTTTATTTTATTTTATTTTATTTTATTTTATTATTTTATTTACTTATTTTTTTTAAAATATAGATTGAGAGGTGAAAGCACTTCATTTATTTATTCTTTCCTTTTTATTTTTTTTCCTTCCCCTCCCCCATGGTCTTCTGGTAAGTTTCTCAGGATCCACATAAGAGTGAAAACATATGGTATCTGTCTTTCTCTGTATGACTTATTTCGCTTTAAAGGTAAATTTATGGAGGGTATGTTATTGTTCCTAGGAAAGGAGAAATATTGAGCATCCCAGGAAAGATATTCTAAAGGCAGTTCACAGTTACCAGATGGATAGGATAAGCGTGCATCTGAAGATGAGGTACAAGAGTTCAATTACAATGCAATTCCCTTTAAGTTTCTAACCACCCCCCCACCCTCAACACACACACACACACACACACACACACACACACAAACACACACACACACACACATGCCTAAAGGACTTCATCAGTAACTCACCTTCTCTCTGAAACTGATAGTCATACTTACTGACTCAGGCAGCTTCTGCAGAGTGCCAAAAACCAAATTGAATGGGTAAAAAAAAAAAAAAAAGTTTGGTGAGGGGGAAAAAAGTCAACATCCTATTTGACGGAATTGATTAGTCTTTTCCAATGTAGACACCTAACAGATTTGCTTTTCATTTGTATGGAAAAGATGTTTGTGAAAACAGAAGCAGTAAACTAGATAGCCCAATTTCTCCTCCCAAAATAAAGCAAAGAAGGAAGGCTAAGCTAAAAGTACACTGCCTGAAAGAAAGTGAAAATTTCCCATTGTTAACTCTTCCCCTGTGTCTCACTCCCACCTTTCAATACTACTATTCATCCATCCCTCCAGTGCTGAGCTCTACTCTATTTATGTGGAATCTGCTATTTTGCTGTCATCACCCATCACATTTAATTCACATGTTAGCCTGGAAACTCACTATGGCAGGTCAAATAGAAGTGCAGCTACTGAGCACTAACCCATATGCTAATGCAAATTCTTTACATATAGAAAGATATTTGAAAGTATTATGAACATTTTGGTGAAAAAAATATGCAATGTGATTTCATTATTCTTATTTTACTTGCATACCTCAATACAACATTTTTTAAATGTCTGTTTATTTTTCAGAGGTGGGGGGATGGGCAGACAGAGAGGGAGAACACAGAATCCAAATCAGGCTCCAGGCTCTGAGCTGTCAGCCCCAAACGTGGGGTTGGAACTCTGGAACCATGGGATCATGACCTGAGCACAAGTGGGATGCTTAACTGACTAAGCCACCCAGGTGCCCCAATAGAACATTTTAAATCGTTTTATTAAGATGTAATTTAGGTACCATAAATTTAGGTACATAAACAAGTCAATGTTTTTAGTATATTTAACTAAAACCATAATGTAATTTTAGAATATTATTTATCACCTTCCCCCCAAAACTCCTCCACTCTTCCCCATCTCCAGGCAAACACTAATCTACTTTGTTTCTAAGATTTGCCTATTTGTGGATATTTTATATAAATGTGTTTTCTATAAACACATACAATATGTGTTTTTCTTTTTTTTTTAAATGGGCTTCTTTCAGTTCACACGACAATCTAGTTTTAAGTTGTTTGACCTCAATATTCTGTCTGTGAGGATAAAATGTCATCCTTGAATTCTTTTATGAGTTTGAGGATTGGGTACAATTTTCATGACAGAAAACTTTAAAACTGGTTAAAGCAAGAGGGCTTTTCTGCGCCAGGTATGTTAATCCATTTTGCCAATGTTAATATACAAGATTGTGCAAGCATGAGCCACGGAACAATGTGTGTCCATGGATCCCTAAATTGACATTGTCCAGGAGAATTTTGGGGGAAAACAAACAACAACAAAAACACTGCAAGTCACAAACAGGATCCATTAAAAGACAAGTGTAGTTTAAATACTTATGAAATGTAGTTTAACAGTTTAATTTCCCATCTTTGGAAAACTGGTGATTGCAGAGTATTTAACATAAATCCATATAAATTTGTGTTTCGTGGATAGGGGGCCTTTCTGAGCGAGAATCCTTAGGAAAAGCAAATAGGAACTTTACAGAGAAAGTAAATTCTCCCTTCTGCCCTTTCCCCCTCTTTTCTCTGGCAGGGTTGATACTCATTACAGTTTGCTCAAATACTTGGAAGAGAATTTAGAGCCCTCCCCCCAACTTCTGATTTTAAAGCCAATAGATGATGAGGTTTATTTGCATATTTCCAGTCACATAAGCAGCCGTGCAGTGGAAACAGTGTCAGACTCCATTCTCCCTTCTCCTCCTCAGAGGGAACCTGCCACTTCTAACTGCCCTGCCCTCCGTTTTAAAGGGCAACTTGCCTCACGCTGAACCGCGCCTCCAGCCTGCTCCCGTCTCAGGCTCAGCTGGTCCAACACTGTTCGCGCTCCTGCCAGAGCCCTGTAGCTCCTACAGAGAGCCCTGCCCGGAGATGGAGAGCAAAACCCTGTTCCTGATGGCTCTGGGCATATGGCTCCAGAGTCTGACCACTACCCGTGGATGGGTGGCTGCCGACGACAGTAAGTTTTGCGTGTACACTCCCCTCCACCTGCAGACTTCACTCTGTGGCCACTTCCACAAGTTACAAGGATGGGAAGGAGGAAACTGAAAGGGGTTGCAGAGGCACCCTGGAAACTTTCCTAGCCAGAGCGCCAGGCCGGGAGAAGAGCCACTGGGTTGGGATCCGGGAGGGGCAGGGAGGGAATTCTCCCTCCGATCTTGCTAGAGTCTTGCTGGAGTCTTTCCCTCGTTGATCCTTCCGATCTGGCTGAGGCCATATTTCCGGGTACGTAGGCTCAGAGAAGAGTAGCGGGTAGCATGAGGGGCGGACAAAGAGAGGTAGGAGGAAGGACTTAAATGGTGGAGATCCATAATAACTCTCTCGCATGCGGGCTCTGGAATGAAAGGCGCGCAGGTCAAGGTGACCCTGGCGCAGCCGCGACCCGGGCTCCGGCCTTCGTGAGCACCGACAGAGTGGCGGCTTCTGTAAGAGAAGGCCACGAAGAGGAGGGGAAAAAGCGTTGTGGGTATCTTAGAAGCACCGGGCACCAGCTCTCTGCCTTGACAGCGTAGTGGGGGACTGAGTCGCGTAGGTGGCAGCGAGTCCTGCTGTGCCAGCACCCTGCACCCCTTCCGGAGCTGGGAAGCTCGCCAGTTTCCTTCCTTCCTTTCTTTCTTTCTTCTTTCTTTCTTTCTTTCTTTCTTTCTCTTTCTTCTTTCTTTCTTTCTTCCTTTCTCTTCCTCTTTCTTTCTTTCTTTCTTTTATTGAAGAGGGAGAGAGCGTGCATGAGTCGGGGAGGGGCAGAGAGAGGAGACGTAGAATCCCAAGCAAGTCCCTTTCAGCTTAGAGCCCCACGCTGGGCTGAACTCAGGAACTTTGAGATCATGACCTGAGGGGACTGAGACACCCAGGCACCCCTCCCTAGCTTCCATTCTTGCAGATGCAACTTTTCTTAGCACCCAGAAAACCTAGGGAAGAGTTGACCCTCCTGATAACGTGTCGCAGGGACTAGCTGTCTGTCGCCACTGACTTGGGGGTTACGGGTTTTGCAATTGGCTACCCTTAATGTCCTGGGAACTCAGTCCTGCTCTGACCTGAGAGGCAGCTGCTAGCAGTGGGGCTTCAGGGAGTTTACCCTTGAACCTCAGTCACCACCCTGGAGCCCCTGGCTTGCTAGGGTTAAGGTGCTACAGGAGAGATGTGAATTTCTTTATTGTAGGGAACACACAGGCCCAGCTCCAGACCCTTCCACTATGGAGGCAGCAGGCCTGCCCTTGAACTTTGGTTCATCTAATATACAACAACAACCAAAAACCAACTGAAGCAAGTTATAAAAGGAGGCAACATTTTTTTCTCTCTTCCCTGGTAAAATTGCAGTTAGGTCAGTGTCACTTGGATGTGCTCTCAGGTAGCATGTCCACAGACGTTCAAGTTATAGTTAAGTTTGTCCATGACTTTTCAGTTGAAAGTTTATTTCAGCAGTGTGTTGTGATAGAACATTTTTGTTAAGGTTATTTAAAAAAAAGTAGATTTCATTAATATGATTGAATAAAAAAAGTATCTTTTCTGTCAGATCAGTTTAAGAATATTGGAGGTTCAATTAGAAAGTCTTAAATATCTTATATAGTGTCATGTTCCCTTCATAGTTCCAAGAAAATGGTAAGAACAAACTCCAAATTCTTATTTAAGAAAATACACCATGGTGTGATGTTCCTTTTACCATAAACACCCGAATATGTGTTGTCCACAGTTTGTTTTTGCTGGCTCCTTAGCAATTCATGACCCTAAATTCCTGGTCTAGTCAGTGTCACCTTTCTGGTTTTTAGATTCCTAACTCTAAAATGAGGAGTTCAGACTGCACTCAAAATTCTCTTAGGCTGGGGTGCCTGGCTGGCTCAGCCGATGGAACATGCAACTCTTGATCTCTGGGTTGTGAGTTTGAGCCCCACATTATGTGTAGAGATCACTTAAGAAAATAAATAAAATCTTGGGGCGCCTGGGTGGCGCAGTCGGTTAAGCGTCCGACTTCAGCCAGGTCACGATCTCGCGGTCCGTGAGTTCGAGCCCCGCGTCGGGCTCTGGGCTGATGGCTCAGAGCCTGGAGCCTGTTTCCGATTCTGTGTCTCCCTCTCTCTCTGCCCCTCGCCCGTTCATGCTCTGTCTCTCTCTGTCCCAAAAATAAAATAAACGTTGAAAAAAAAATTTAAAAAAAAGAAAATAAATAAAATCTTGAAAAACAATTCTTGTAAGTGCCTCTAATTCATACTCTTTGATTTAAGTAGACACTTTGTGATTGATGAATTAAATTGGATTTTAACCAACACGTGCTTTTCCTGGCTGTAAATGTATTAAGGGAAGAATCATTTTTAAGTACACTTGAAATTAATCCCTCCTATCCTTCCCTCCCACTCTCAATCCACCACCCCCCACCCTTTATATTATGCCTTTCCCATCACAGCAAATTTCTACCCCTTTTCTCCTCCAAATGAATTCATCTAGGAATGTAAGAATTTCATAGCCAAAGGATACAAGTGTGAGCAGCACCTTCTCTGGGCTCTGACTTTACTTATTCTTGATTTTTTTCTAAGATGAAAGTAAGGATATGAGGCACTGCCCTCAGGCTCTTTGTTCTTGGAGCCACCTCAGTCTCTGCAGAGCCTCATTAGGAAACTTGAAGAGCTAAGCAAGGAGCATATGGGTCAGTGCTCAGTAACTGCACTTCTATTTGACCTGCCATAGTGAATTTCCAGGCTAACATGTGAATTAAATGTGATGGGTGATGGCAGCAAAATAGCAGATTCCACATAAATAGAGCTCAGCACTGGAGGGATGGATGAATAGTAGTATTGAAAGGTGGGAGTGAGACACAGGGGAAGAGTTAACAATGGGAAATTTTCACTTTCTTTCAGGCAGTGTACTTTTAGCTTAGCCTTCCTTCTTTGCTTTATTTTGGGAGGAGAAATTGGGCTATCTAGTTTACTGCTTCTGTTTTCACAAACATCTTTTCCATACAAATGAAAAGCAAATCTGTTAGGTGTCTACATTGGAAAAGACTAATCAATTCCGTCAAATAGGATGTTGACTTTTTTTCCCCTCACCAAACTTTTTTTTTTTTTCCCATTCAATTTGGTTTTTGGCACTCTGCAGAAGCTGCCTGAGTCAGTAAGTATGACTATCAGTTTCAGAGAGAAGGTGAATTACTGATGAAGTCCTTTAGGTGTGTGTGTGTGTGTGTGTGTGTGTGTGTGTGTGTGTGTGTGTGTGTTGAGGGTGGGGGGGGTGATTAGAAACTTAAAGGGAATTGCATTATAATTGAACTCTTGTACCTCATCTTCAAATGCATGCTTATCCTATCCATCTGGTAACTGTGAACTGCCTTTAGAATATCTTTTCTGGAGAAGTGTCTATTCATGTCTTTTGCCCATTTCTTCACCGGATTCTTTGTTTTTTGGGTGTCGAGTTTGGTAAGTTCTTTATATTTTGGATACTAACCCTTTATCTGATATGTCATTTGTAAATATCTTCTCTCATTCCTTTTTGTAATGAGAGGATTTGTAAATATCCTCTCTCATTGCCTTTTAGTTGTGCTGATTGTTTCCTTTGCTGTGCAGAAGCTTTTTATTTTGATGAGGTCCCAGTAGTTTATTTTTGTTTTTGTTTCCCTTGCCTCTGGAGACGCGTTGAGTTAGAAGTTGCTGTGGCCAAGATCAAAGAGGTTTTTGCCTGCTTTATCCTTGAGGATTTTGAGGCTTTCTGTCTTACATTTAGGTCTTTCATCCATTTTGTGTTTATTTTTGTGTATGGTATAAGAAAGTGGTCTCCAGGTTCATTCTTCTGCATGTCGCTGTCCAGTTTTCCCAGCACCACTTGCTGAAGAAACTGTCTTTATTCCATTGGATATTCTTTCCTGCTTTGTCAAAGATTAATTGGCCATACATTTGTGGGTCCAATTCTTGAGTCTCTATTCTGTTCCATTGATCTGAGTATCTGTTTTTATGCCTGTACCATACTGTCTTGATGATTACACTTTTGTATTACAGCTTGAAGTCTGGGATTGTGATGCCTCCTACTTTGGTTTTCTTTTTCAAGACTGCTTTGGCTATTTGGGGTATTTTCTGGTTCCATACAAGTTTTAGGATTGTTTGTTCTAGCTCTGTGAAGAATGCTGGTGGATGGAACTAAAGCGGATTATGCTAAGTGAAATTAGTCAGTCAGAGAAAGACAAATATCATATGACTTCACTCATATGAGGGCTTTAAGACACAGAACAGATGAACACAAGGAAAGGGAAGTAAAAATAATATAAGAACAGGGTAGGGGGACAAAACATAGATACTCTTAAATATGGAGAACAAACAGAGGGTTACTCGAGGGGTTGTTGGAAAGGGGATGGGCTAAATGGGTAAGGGACATTAAGGAATCTACTCCTGAAATCATTGTTACAGTATAAGCTAATTTGGATGTAAATTAAAAAAAAATAGAATTAAAGAAAAAAGAATATATTTTCTGGGATGCTCAATATTTCTTCTTTCCTAGGAACAATAACATACCCTCCATAAATTTACCTTTAAAGCGCGTTCACCTCTCAATCTAATTTCATCTCTGTGAGTTATTATCCATGTTAAGTAAATACCTTGTCTTTGTTTATACACTTAGAATTTTAGCTATTTAAGAAGTTAGAAATAAAGATTACATAGTCAAGAAATACATTAACTTGTAACTTGCCTGGTATCCAAGTCCTACCTTAGTGCTGAATAAGGCCATCTGATGGGAACAAGTCAGAGTGGTTACGTTGCTATGATAAGTTGAATTCAGGATGGAAGCACTTATAAAGGAATATACCTTAGGCAGCCCCCTTCCGACTACCCTAAGGTAGCTTTAATTTCTAAGGGGATCTGATAAAAAAGATCTTTATCCCCTTAGAAAGATAAGTGCAGTCATTAATATCATTTTCATGTATGGAAATCCGTAATTCCCTTAGTAACAATTGAGTCAAATCACTTCATCTGTCTGGCAAGAGCAATTCTAGTGTATATTGGAACAACTAAAAGTAACAGCTGGCCCATATCAATTGTGTGAAAAGATAGGCTTGGAAAGTACATTCATCTTTAGGATGCTGAGACACTCTTACAAACACCAGCAGTGTGAACATTTCTGTCAGCATGCCAAAGAGAAAGAAAAACTGACTAAACACTAATACCATTTATGATCATGTATAGAACTGACATAGACTTGAAAACAGCACATAGCATATAGAGTGGTGCAATCTTCCTGTCAAATGCTTCATTATGCTTTCTGTAACTTAAAATAAAAACTAATCTCCTTGAGAAGTGAAATAAAAGTCTCCAAATACAAATTTGTTTGAGAATGTAGGAATTTCCTTTTTTTTTAAATGTAGAAGTTATGTACCGAACAGGAAATGTTGGTAGTGGAAAATTGGACCTCTCAATGGGCTATGCAGATAATCTGTATAGAATCTATGAATTTAATAGACTTTTTTTCATGGAAATTCACAAAGCTAGCCTTAATAATTTCTGAGAATATCCTTAGTTATTTCAAAACCACCAGCAACTCTAGGGCCATCATGTTGCATAACTCTAGGGGAAAATAGACCAAAGTGAGTGGCATCCTCTGGAGCTATGTAAAGCTGTAGTCTTAAATAACAGTTTAACAAATAGGTGGTGGGTGGGATATGTCTGCCAGGTCACTTGGATGATTTCTACTTTGAAAAGATTGATAATAAAATATGTTAAAATAAGATTATTGAGGAAGGATGAGTTATTTGATGTGGAGAGATGAGACAAGGTGAAACTAATTTAGTTTGAAATTTTCTAAAGCGCTTCCTAACAATTAAAAAAAAACCTTCTTGGGTATTTAGAGCAGAATAAGATTTAAAAATCTACATTTTTTTCTACTATCAGGCAAATAATAAGGCCATCAGAGTACTACCTGGTTAGGAAGGAAAAGGAAGACCTGCATCTTCAAATAAGATGGAAGGCCAAGTGTATTTTTGATGGGTGAATGGCTTTCAAGTGCAATTTTACTATCTGTAAATAAAAAAAGCCTTAAATAGCAATAGTTTACCACACTCTCTTATTTGAATAAATTATCTTAGAATGTCCAGGTGCTAGAGATGAGAGAGAGAGAGGGAGAGAGAGAGAGAGAGAGAGAGAGAGAGATATCAACTTGTCACCTATAATGAATGACTTAGCAAGTAGCCACAATATTGCTTTAGGAATTTTAGAAAATAATTAAAAAGGAAAAAGTTGACCAGTACTCAGCTAGCTACATGAATACCTGTGTATTCATTATACCATATCATTCTTGTTTTTATTTTGGCCTGGCTTTTGCAATGTTATTTGAAATTACAGATTTTCAGCATTTGAATTGTGAAAAGAGTAAATTTAGATTAAGAAATTAGAAGTACCAATTATTTATCATCTGAGTTTTAAGTAGAGGAATCTAAAATCTACAAATTATTACCATTTTATAGTAAATAATTTTTAATTTTTTTCTTGACAAGAAAGTAAATAATTTCCCCTAATATAACTTCCCTTTGATTGTGTTTGCTTTGTAGAAGAGTTTGATTTTATTTGCAGCAAAATTTATTTCAAGCATTCACTGTGGTATTAGATGAAGGTTTATCAAAATTTAGAGTTATTGTCAAGAGATTCAAATGGTAGGCTGAAGTTTATTTCTCTCCTTATTCACTTTGGGATTGACTATGAAGAATCAAAGTGGATTCTTTCCCAAACCTGCTTTGCTGTAGTTTTGTAACTACAAAGCTATAAGCTATGACTTTGTGTAAAAGACAGTAAAGACATAAGAAATAATAGAAAAAAATATTTGGGTAAAGTATTAACCAGTTCACACATAGTATATGCATTTTTGAACAACCCACTAAATGATTTTTCAAAAATATTTTTAACTGAGGTACCTTGCTATGGGGGTGAGAACAACTTCATATAAAAACTTCCTCAAGCTTCCAAATTTTGTTACTGCTATTATTTTTTAAAGTTATGTTATTGCAAAGGAAACAACCTTTTCTCAAGCCTATTATACAACATTTTGGGAAAAGCATTATGTTGATATAATCCAATATTGAAAGAGGGTGAAAAATAATATATGATATAAGTGGAATTTTACAATGCAAGAGCCATGAGCCAATGTTCTTCAGAAGAATGAGTTTTGAATTGTAACCAAGAGACCTGGATTCTGGTCTCTGTCAACTTCTATTACTAATGGAGAATTAGTCATTCTCTTGCTTAACTGACTGAGCCACCCAGGTACCCCAAGTCATTCTCTTTCAATCTACATTTATTAAAAAAAAATAGAAATAAAAATGTCATTGGTGGTAGTTGCTTATAAACCTAAAACATACCATAACAACAAATAAAACAAACAACCCTCCAATTAGCCACCTATCCAATTTTTCCTTTTCAGGAATTACAGGAGGAAGAGATTTTATAGATATCGAAAGTAAATTTGCTCTAAGGACCCCTGAAGACATAGCTGAAGATACTTGCCACCTCATTCCTGGAGTGACAGAATCTGTGGCTAACTGCCACTTCAACCACACCAGCAAAACCTTTGTGGTGATCCATGGCTGGACGGTAAGACAGTCTTTTTAGAAAAGAATTGGGGTGACCCAGGCATCTTGACCCCGTGATGAGTTGTTGGGAACCCTGTGATGAGTCTTCATATATCCTGTACCTATGGCCTTACTTCATTTTTATTAAAAAAAATTTTTTTTAATGTTTATTCACTTTTTGAGAGACAGAGCATGAGTGGGGGAGGGGCAGAGGGAGAGGGAGACACAGAATCCAAAGCAGGCTCCAGGCTCTGGGCTGTTAGCACAGAGCCTGGTGCGGGGCTCAAACCCATGGACCGTGAGATCATGACCTCAGCCACCCAAGCGCCCCTCCTATGGCTTTACTTTAAACTTGAGTACAGGCAATTCTGGCTCAGGGTGGGATTATGGAATCTAAAATCACAGGTTCATGAGTATTTTCCCCCAGATAGTGCCTACCTTCATTTTACCACAGTCCCTAGTTGGTGCCCTTGAATCAGCCATTCTTGTGAGTTGGGAAAACAAGGCTTTGCTCACCTACAGAGCAGAATGTACATTTTCAGTTTAGGAAACCAGTACACACCTGGTATGATCCTGATTCATGTAGCACATTGCCAAAGCACATGCTTTCCTAAGGGAAACAACCTGTCAGAGGGAGGAGAGGGTTAGAGTGGAGTGAGGAAGTATTGATTCTGGCTCTGGCTTTGCCATTCTCTAGCTCTGTGAAGTGACTGATGCTACTTCTTATCTCTGGGCCTCAGTTGACTGATGTGTAAGACAAAGAGGTTAGACTAGTTGTCCCTCTACTTCCAACATTCTCCAATTGTAAACTTTAGGGAACTTTTTTATAGATGACAGAGGGCTAGCCAGGGAAGTGTCATGCAAAATGATTAGAAAAGGTGAAAACTGTGGTTACATTTAAAGAATGTGAATAGGTGATGTGGATTAAGGAGTGCACTTGTGATGAGCACCAGATGTTGTATGGAAATGTTGAATCACTAAATTTTACACATGAAACTAATATTACATTGTATGTTAAGTAACTGGAAATTAACGCTTAAAAAAAAGAAGACAACAACAACAAAATAAAGAATGTGAATAAAGTAGTACTCTCTAAATATGTGGCAGTCACTTTACATGGTTCAGTTCTTACTTAACTACTTCAGTTGGTTTTTAATATTTTAAAACCCCAGTTAGCAGATTTCATCTTTTATATAAAAAGGAGTTATATAAAATGGGACATTAAAGAGAAATTATCTTTCCATTATGTCGGAGCTTGTGAATATAGTAAAGATACTAAATATATCCTAATGAGATGAATTAGAGAAGGATTGATAGACTTCTAGTCTTGACTTATTTTCCTGTGTAACTTAAGTACCATTCTTATTAACAATATAGGATAATTGCTATAACTTTATGGAGATGAAGGTGACTACTAACAGAATTTAGATGGATGTTTATTTTTTAAACATCTATTTACTAAGTTAACATAAATTACATATCTTATGATAAAATTATATATTCAAATTATTAACATGGATCTTTTTATATTTAAGAGATTCAATAAGAAAAAGTAATTGTTGGTAGTTTTAGAGATGTTTTGATTGTATATAGAGTTTTAATACCTTTGTAAAAAGTATAATAAGCTTAATAAACATTTTATATGGCACAATAAATTGAATGTCTCAGACCTCACATTCTTATCCCCTGAGAGAACTTGATGCTTTAAGAATTTTTAAAAAGCATAGTTCCTTCTCATGCAAAGATGACATAACTAACCCAGTATCAGTATATAGTGCCAATTTCTATTATGGGTCCTTCTGCCCACTAAACCCACCATATTCTTCATATCATGTGTCCTGACATTTTGAGTGCCTGAGCTCAGAGGCTAGGCCATTGGCTGTGGGACTGACTTTCATCATAAAAAGCTAGCTGGTTGGTCTATTCAGGAACTAATCTAGCCATAGAAAGGCTTCAGTTCAACTGTGAATCTGAGAATCAAAGATTTAAAAACTTTGTGCTGATTTAAGGAACCTTAGAAAAAAACCCTAGAAAAACTTTTTAGAGTTAAGGAAGGTTTCTTTTACACCCCTTTGTTCAGGGGTACTTACAGCAGTATTTTATGTTGAATTAAAAAAGAAAGGAGTATCTGTTGGGATGAGCACTGAGTGTTGTATGGAAACCAATTTGACAATAAATCTCTTATTAAAAAATAAATAAATAAAATAAAATAATACAAAAAATAAAGTTCTTCCTATGATTAAAAAAAGAGAAAGGAGTAGATTCATTTTTAGACAGTTAATAAAAGTATCAGTCACTGTAGAAATAAGTTGGGTTTTTTGCTCTTTGATAGATTGCTTAACTTGGAAACATTGATAGTACGGAAAAACTTATAATAGGAGCTTAGAGCAAGCAAGATTTTTCTGCCTTATCTGAGGTAAGCTGTTCAGCAACTCAAGGTCATAAGACTAAGGGAAATGGGGAAATTCTTTAGTTTTGCCATGGAAAATCCAAAAGAATGCTTAGCATGTAGTATGCTTAGGGCACATCCCAGAAAGCTGTTTAGACACAGCTGTCCTGGAGCTTTGCCACCTGCTTAGGTTTCATAGACCAGTGCACTAAGCACAGAGTTCTCATTGTGGTAGGAGGCCCTCACGCCAGCTGAAAGGAGGAGTGGTTAATGTTTCATTCTGAAGAACTGACATCATCCTCTCTTGAAAGGCAGTTGAAAAGTGTGGCAAACCCCCAACCACTAAGAGAGGAGAAGAGAAGACAGGACCAATTCACAGGAATTTGAGGCTAGGTCGGTGTTCTAGCCTGTTTCCTCAAAGACCCAGACTGTGCTTAGACTTAAAGCAGCCTCACCGAAACATGTTCAGAGAAGGTTTATTAAATGAGTTTCTAATGAGCCAACGTCACCTTTGTACCTTTTTTTTCTTTTTTTTTTTCTTTTTCTCTTTATGCTTGAAATGGCAATAGCTTTAATTATATCACTGCAGGTAGATTGGAAGTCAGAATGGTTGCAAGAAGACATTTATTAGGTGGTGGGTAACTTCAAGATCATCTGAATCCAACTCCTTTGTTTTGTAGGTGTCCTAAAAGGTTAAAACAGTGCCTACATTCATAGAAGTAATTATTGGAAGAGCTGGGACTGGAACCAAGATCTCCTGAGTTTCAGGCTTGCTTTTTCCTACCACAGCAATGAGGTGAAAAATTGTGCAGTTGTTAGTGTCAGGAGTGAAACAAGAACTCAGGTTTTGATAGTTTTAGTCTAGAGAATAAAGTGAACAAAATGGAAGCATAAATCTGAAAGAATCCACCATATAAGATCAAAGTTCCAAATGAAGCCCACTGGTTTGGGAATTCAAGACTCCTATATTTGCTTTTGGAATTATTCTAAGAAGAATATAGGTTTTATAGATCTCCCTTCAAAAGCTGCCTTAAACATATATTTCAGAACCTTCTTTGTTGAGTACGTATTTGAGTAACTTTTACTATGGCTACAATATGATTTCTATCAGGTCATGGTAGAGGTGGGGAGATTTGGGGATTTGAATCAAGTTACTGCTACATGCAGGCTCATGGAACGATGGTGGAGAATTTTATAATGTGCTTTTTAAAAAATGTGTTTTGATTATTTTAAAGTGTGCATCTTTGCAGAAGTGTCTGATGTCCTCTCTGAAAGCATAAATTAAAATTTTACATAAAAAAAGTTAATGTGAGAACTCTATAGTTCTTTTGACTTTGAATTTTGGGGCTTTCTTAAACAAGAGGTAAAGAATTACAATTGGCAGTATCCTTATCTCCAGAGCCAATCTAATTTGAGAAATGTGACTATTAAACCTCATTAATTTCCACTCTGAAAATTAAGAATTTGAGAGAACTGTAAAAAAAAATCTGAACTGAAACTGATCATTTTCTTATGTATTAACAAACAGATTGATAAATAAATTTACCTTCTGTTAGAATTAGCGTGCTTAAAACTTTTTTTCATCAGCACATCAAATGTTGTATGTAAATAAATGACTCTTAAGAAAAAAAAAAGTGCATTCACATCCTCCAAACTAATTTTGTTGGGAATAAGTTATTAGCCTAGTTGAAAGTAATTGAATTAAATTATTATAAAATAGTCTATAGCTCCAGTGCAAAATTTTAACTTATTCAGATTGATCTTTCATATAAATTACTGGTTTTACAGAATTCATAAACCAAGCTTTTAAAAATTGGTGGTGTAAACCCTAGTCTGCCATTCCTCACCTCAACACCCTTCCTTGGCGTACTCAAATTTGCCTCATAAAGGGGAGTCACAAGTCTCTGAACACTGTTTTGCATAGTTTGAGTTTTCTTCCTGAGTTAATGGACAACCTTTCAGATTTGTTTGTTTTCTTTCCATTCAGCGTAAGTATATTAGGCTGTCATATCTATAACAAGTTGTATGTGGGTATTTTAAGAAAGCTTGCATCATCCTTTTCAGGTGACAGGCATGTATGAGAGTTGGGTGCCAAAACTTGTGGCTGCCCTGTACAAGAGGGAACCAGATTCCAATGTCATTGTGGTGGACTGGCTGTCACGGGCCCAGCAGCATTATCCAGTGTCTGCGGGATACACCAAGCTGGTGGGAAAGGATGTGGCCAAGTTTATCAACTGGATGGAGGTAAGATTGGGGGAAGAAGCCTTACATGTCCAAAACAGATCTCTTGGCCAGAGTGGGACAAATGGCTGGTCTTTGTTACTTTTCATCTGGGGAAATTCAAATCTTCAGAATAAGCATGGTTATTTTTCAGCCAGAAAGCAGTATTATGATAAGAATGATAAAACTGTAAAGCCAAAGCATAGTCCTGCCCTTCCCTATCGATATTCTCATAGTGAATGGATCTGGTGAGACCAAGAAGTGACTGGGCAAAACAGACAAAAGCTTGTTATTTCAGGGCAAAGGGAAGATGTCAGGTTCAGCCAAATCCTTCCTTACCAGTTGACTGGCACATGGAAATGTTATCTTGGCTTTGACCCATTAGAATACCAATCTCTTTCATGAAAGTATTAATAATACCTATTGCTTAGTGTAGATTAAAGATCCAGATTTTTGTTGAGGGTTAGGGGAGTGATGGATTTGAGCTGGGAAGAAACTGGCAAGAAAAGTCTGTAGATATGAGATGGCTAAGGGTCAGGACTTCTGACTTAGCTGCCACTTTTATTCACTTTTTTCCTGAGGTCATTCTCTGAAAATTATCTTTGAAATGTATCTTGGCATTGGTTGAAAGGAAGCTAATACTCTGACAGGGCCAAAATATTTAAGCCAGATATGTGGAGGTAAAAAATAAGCTATGTTTATTGGACTGACTGTTAGAAGATAAAAGTTCTTGGGGTACCTGTGTGGTTCAGTTGGTTGAGTGTCCAACTCTTGATTGTAGCTCAGGTCATGGGCCCAGGGTTGTGGGATTGAGCCCCGCATTGGGCTCTTGCCCTGAGTGTGGAGCCTGCTAGAGATTCTCTCCCTCTCTCTCTCTCTCCCCCTCTCCCCAACTTGAGCACACTCCCTGTCTCTAAAACTAAAGAAAAAAAAAAAGATTAAAGCTCTTTTCTTGACTCTTTTGCCTATCAGGAAAGTGAATCTGGGAAAATCAGATCACCTGCCTCGACCTCAGGCTTATTATCTATTGAATAAAGAGGATGGACTATATGTGTCTGCGATCCATTCCTGCTATAATATTTTCTGGTTTTAAGACATTTCCTGGCTAACTTAAAGAATAAAGTGATGTAGGGTATTTAGAGTAGGGAATACTGGCTTAAAGTTAAATATATATTTAATATATGTGTGTATCTACATATAGATACACACACATATACATATATCTACATATAAATATACAGCTATACATACACATGTACATGCATACATATATTTTCAGATAAATGAAAATTCACATTTCCATACATTTCAATATCAGATGTATGGAAAAAGTTTGTAACTTAAATATGTTGTTAAAGAAAGAGAAAATCTCAACACTAAAGTGTTTCTTTGATCTATACCACAAAATTTAAATAAGTAGAATTAATTTTCAGTATAGCCTGCATTTCCAAAACAATATTTTTCATTTAGTTTTGATCTTTTGTACAGAACTGTAAGAACCCCTTTTTTCTTTTTCTCTTCCAAAGGAGGAATTTCACTATCCTCTGGACAATGTCCATCTCTTGGGATACAGCCTTGGAGCCCATGCTGCTGGCATTGCAGGAAGTCTGACCAATAAGAAGGTCAATAGAATTACTGGTAAGAAAGCAGTGCCAGTAGTCTATCACAGAAGAGTCGAGATGCCTGTCATTTGGAAATAGAATAAAAATGTTTGTCAAATATATCTATATGTGTGTGGTGTTCCTCTCTGCTTGCCAAGCCATTTGATTATATTATGGGAGCACTTTTTTTCTGGAGAAGGACAGAATATGGGCACTAGCTGTCCTAGACATACCACCTACTGTCAGAAGAAAGAGCAGAGTTAAGCACAAAAAGCCCAGTGGTCTCTGGGAAGCTCATTTCCATCCTCCCGGGCTCTGTGCTTTGGTGTTATGTATGTCACATTTCACATCAGTACTGGGATAAATGAAAAAGGACCAACACCAGAGCCTGTTTGGAAAAAAGAAGGCAGTCAACCAGGGCAAAGGTAGTAGATGATTTGGCATGCATAAAGAAAAAGAACGAACTCACCACTCTTTGAAGTCCTTCTCAACAGGTTCAAAAGTAATTTACAAAAGGAGATCTAGCTGTTCTGAATGAAATTGCTATTTAATAGCAAGTTTCAGAGACTCAAATTCCTTTCAGAAAGAGCTAAGCCTACTTCTATGACTCTCAGTAACTTAATGATCCAATCACTAGGATAAGGAGCTAATAAAAATCTATGTGGCTGCCAGTTACATTCAAATGATGAACAATCGAATGCCAAGGTGACATTAGCATTGTCTAATGCTAATGGAGACTAAAATTAATGGGAATTAAAAAATATGTGAGGTCTTTTTTTTTCCCCCTCATTAAGGACTAGATCCAGCTGGACCTAACTTTGAATATGCAGAAGCTCCAAGTCGCCTTTCTCCTGATGATGCAGATTTTGTAGATGTCTTACACACATTCACCAGAGGGTCACCTGGCCGAAGTATTGGAATCCAGAAACCAGTAGGACATGTTGACATTTATCCTAATGGAGGCACTTTTCAACCAGGATGTAACATTGGGGAAGCTATCCGTGTGATTGCAGAGAGAGGCCTTGGAGGTAAATATGATTTAGAAGTTAATTAAACATAAGTGTTGTTCTTAATTCTTATTGACCCAGTCTTCCACCCATTCCCCACAAGTATGCAATGTGTATGCAAATGTGTATATTAAAGTATACACATTTAGCCAAGATAATTTCTGAAGAAGCTATCATATTCAGCATAATCGCCTTTATACCTTAGTACTTCTTTTGATCAGATAGACAAACATTTTTTTTTCTTTTATGTATTATATTATAGACTACAATACTGAGTGAGTGAGTACTGAGCTTCCAGAGATAAAAGAAAAGAAAGGTGAGATCTATACAAGAAAACTCCATTGCCTTGGATAATAGCAGCATAAAATGACTTCTGGCACATGTTGTTATATTCTGAATATAGTTGTGAAACCATAAGGTTTATTTTGAATTGATTGAAAATAAAGGGCATGTTAATTAGTCCAAATTAATTTTGTTAGCCTTTTAGAGAGAAAGTAAAAATAAGAAACAAATCGCCATTCTCTAAAAATAAATATTCCAAAATTTAAAGAAGAAAATATAATTTAATATTGTCCTAATATTTACTTCAATAATCATGTTTGTGTTAAATTTGTAATTTGTTTTAAGGGATCTTTGCATCCTTTGTGGGCAATTAAACTTACCTGTAGATATTGACTATAGGTCTTTTGTGCACATGTTATAGGACTTACAGCATAATGCTACTATTTTTAATTGTTATAGAAGCTTATGGTAATAGATACACTTTTATTACATTACTGATTATTTCTGTGATTCATTTAATGCAAAAATCAGTAGTGACACAACCTCCAATTATACATAGAATCTATGTTAAAATACTATTCATTTAATAATTCTGCCTTTTCTCTGGGCTGATGGCTCAGAGCCTGGAGCCTGTTTCCGATTCTGTGTCTCCCTCTCTCTCTGCCCCTCCCCCATTCATGCTCTGTCTCTCTCTGTCCCAAAAATAAATATACGTTGAAAAAAAAATTTTTTTTTAAATAAAAAAAATAATAATTCTGCCTTTTGTGATATTGTTTCTAGGTCCATGTAGAAGTATTTTATGTTTTCAATATAAGAGAAGGATGTGACAAACTGGGGGAAGTCAACTTCTGCCTTGAATGTCTCTTACTTAGATCCTCATAAACATACAAATATAAGACAGCAGAAAAGTCAAAAGTTCTCTGCAAATTTGCAATTTTAACACTCTAGAGATAGGTAAGAAACTCCCATCAAGAATACCTCCTTAAATAGGACTTACATCAAGGAGTCATAGGACTAGATTCTTAGGTAATTTTATTCTGACACCGCATTTAACTAGTTTAGACATGTGAGATGAAACACTCATTGTGGACTGTCATGGAATTAAATTTTCTTTTTGTCTCTTGTTCTCCAGATGTGGACCAGCTAGTGAAGTGTTCCCATGAGCGCTCCATTCATCTCTTTATTGATTCTCTGTTGAATGAAGAAAACCCGAGTAAGGCCTACCGGTGCAATTCAAAGGAAGCCTTTGAGAAAGGGCTTTGCCTGAGTTGTAGAAAAAACCGTTGCAACAATTTGGGTTATGAGATCAATAAGGTCAGAGCCAAAAGAAGCAGCAAAATGTACCTGAAGACTCGGTCTCAGATGCCTTACAAAGGTATGCTGGAGAATGTTGTAAATGAGGAAAATCAGTTTGATCATATTTTTTTATCACACTCATTGCATCCCATGTACTGATTCTGTCCATTACAACAGAAGTAGTGCAATGATTTTATTAAACCCTGAACCCTCACTGTATTTCTGTTGCTAGAGAGGGAGTTGTACTGGTCCATTTTACTGAAGCTCTCAATTCACATTGCCAGTAAGGCCCAGGGTACAACCTGCATTAACCTCTGTAATAGTCTTGCTTGCCACCCTTCTCTGTAATTGTGACCATTAGCATGGGCTAGCCCATTAGAACCAGGCTCAGAGCTCATTTGAAACCATCTATCTATCCAGGGCCAGAAAACCAAGGCCCAGGAGGCCAAATCTAGCCCCTTACCTGCTTTTGTAAATAAAGTTTTATTAGAACACAACTACACACATTCATTTTTTGTTTTTAATTGACTAAGGGTGATTTTGTGCTACCACAGTTAAGTAATTGGGACAGAGACTGTATGGCCCACAAAGCCTAAATTATTTACCATCTGGCCCCTCACAGAAAAGGTTTGCCAACTCCTAAAGTTTGCTTTAGGCAAGAGCTATCTGTATTTTAAAATTCAACTATTCCTGGGAGAGAGAATATACCAAACCTGTAAGATATTTCCATTTTGTCATTAATTTGTTCCCAGGTGAATTTCAAACTTGGCAGCTTATTTAGAGCAAGATTTATACAGATTGAGGGGAGACAAGAAAGGAGATAATTAGGTAAATCTAGCAAGAGGAACTAATCCAGAAAAGCTAATTTATGTGGAGTCCAGGGAGAAGTCCAGGGGAAGGGATGATACTGAAATACAGTTTTCCAAGGTAAAAATGTATCTGATAGAGGCACCCACTTGTAAAGTGTGTTAGAACTTCTGTAGAGGTGCATTTGGTTGCCCAGAGGTTTAGAGCAGCAATAGTTCAAGGAAACCTCTTAAGCAACGAGGAAACCCTTAGTTTCCCTGACTTTTCAGAATGAGAAAATGTGTGTGAGGTAGAGAGGAGGGTGGAATCTTTTGGAGACCTGGTGGGTATTACTCATCCCCAGGCATCCTGCTCAGTGCCATGCAGTGCTCCATCACTGTTCTTGGGGTCACTGCAGCAGTATCAACTTCTCCTGCTCTGGTCTATGGTGAGTCCTGCAAGGGCTCCACTGAAGAGAAACAGTTTCTCTTCTACTCGTTAGTAGCTGTGTGTTAAGCCTGCTGTGTTTCTTATCTCCTTGACCTCCCTCCATTCCATCTACACAGGGGTTTTAGTAGAGATAGAACAGGGAGGAAATGATGTAGAAGTTCAAGTACTTGCTTCCAGAAGCTCTCCCAAACACTTTAAGAACTGGCAGTCTTTATAGCCTCACTGATGATTCAATGAATGAGTTTTATTGTGAGCCTGCTATAATACCTACTCTGTGCTAGATGATGGGGGGATAAAAAGGATAAACATGATCCTCTGACCTGAAGGAATTTACACATAGGGTAGAGTGTCAGACATACTCATAAAGCATGAAAAAACACAATCACAGTGTTCCATTAACAAATGCCAAATATGCTTTATACAGATATTCAGGGTCAAGATGGCCAAGGAAGGGTATAGTTCATGAAGAAAGAATCATGTGTAGTTTGGTTTCTTGATTTGATTTCCCTTGTACCCAATCAAAGATGACTACAATCTAGGGCTGCTTGACAATTCAGATATACCTAGATTCTTCCTATGCACTGAAATCACACTTTTCTAAAAAGGAGTGGAATTCAAGGTCTGAAAATTTGAGTAACAAACACTGTACAGACATGAAGAAATCTTTCCAAGCCACAGTGATGGTTGTGTGCGAGCACTTCTTATTTAATCACTAGTGAGGTAGTCTGTGGTTCTGAATCGCCTGCTTATTTGGGGGCTGTGATGTTTCCATAAAAACTGATTAGCACTTGTTCCAATTTTTTCCTTATAGTCTTCCATTACCAAGTAAAGATACATTTTTCTGGGACTGAGAGTGATACACAGACCAACCAGGTCTTTGAGATTTCTCTGTATGGCACTGTGGCTGAGAGTGAGAACATTCCTTTCACCCTGTGAGTAACCACTTGTCATTACCTCCAGCATGTGGGTTTATCATGGCACTGCTAACTGCTTTTGGTCCCTAGAACAGAAGAAGAGTAGAAAAAGAGATATTCAACAGAATTTTTAAAAAGTGTTTTATTTATGCAATTTGAGAGAGAGAAAGAGCATGAGCAGGGGAGAGACAGAGAGAGAAGGAGAGAGAGAATCCCAAGCAGGCTATACACTGCCAGTACAGAACCTGACACAGGGCTCAATCTCACAAACTGTGAGATCATGACCTGAGCCAAAATCAAAAGTCAGATGCTTAACCAACTAAACCACCCAGGCGCCCCACAACAGAATTTTTTTTAAAAAAAAGCTTTATGGAGACACCTGGGTGGCTCATTCGGTTAAGCGTCTGCCTTCGGCTCAGGTCATGATCTCGAGGTTCGTGAGTTCAAGCCCTGCGTTGGGCTCTGTGCTGACAGCTCAGAGCCTGGAGCCTGCTTCAGATTCTGTGTGTCTGCCCCTCCCCTACTCATGTTCTGTCTCTCTCTCAAAAATAAAATAAACATTAAAAAATTTAAAAAAAACTATGACAAAAGATATTCACATTGTGCATACAATAGCATAAATTAGAAATAAATAAGTACCCAACATTGAGACAATGGTTAATTGTGGTTTAATAAGTCACTAAAATCTATCTAGTTTCTAAAACCTATAATTATAGAAAAACAGGTAAAACATGGTGAAAAATGGAAGGTAAAATATGAGGTAAACAAAGAAAGAATAGAGAATTGTATGTATGCTATGATTGTAACAAAGTAAAAATGTTCACATAGCAGTACAGATTGAAAGGGGATATATGAAAATGAATATAATGTCTCTGAATGATTCATTTATGGATTTTTTTCTTAAGAATTGTATTAGATAGTTCACACTTTTAGTGTAAAAGTTAGAATAGATTAAAAGGGTGTAGATGTCTTTTAAAAGTCACTAAATGCCATTGATCTTCATCTGGAATATTTTTTTGGACACTTTTTGTATTTTTAAGATATCTCCCAAACAACAAAGCTATTTATGCCTTGGGAGGAAGAAAAATGAAAAAAAAAAAAAAAAAAAAAAAAAAAAAAAAAAACCCAACACAAACAAAAAAAAAAAAACCACACAGAACTAACCAAATATGCTGATTTTTTATTCAGGCCTGAAATTTCTGCGAATAAGACATACTCCTTTCTAATTTACACGGAGGTGGATATTGGGGAACTGCTAATGTTGAAACTCAAATGGAAGAGCGATTCATACTTCAGCTGGTCAGACTGGTGGAGCAGCCCTGGGTTTACTATTGAGAAGATCAGAGTAAAAGCAGGAGAGACTCAAAAAAAGTAATTAAATCAATTTCTTTCCATTCACGTTAGGCTTACCCTGTCATTACCTTGGGAGGGTACTCTTGGAGCCTTCAACGTTCAGGTGGAACTTTAGTAAGCTTTGTATTTAAAACTATATCATCTAGATAATTACACCTATAATTTGGGGGAGGAGTGTTCTTTTATTATCATTACTAGGGAAGTAATAGTATTTCTGAATTTCATGAAAGAAAACATAAGCCCTGAACTGGTCACGATTATTGACCGAGAGCTGAGATGAGGATCTCAGCTTCTATTTTAGCACTGTTTCTTTTTTTCAATGTATGAAATTTATTGTCAAATTGGTTTCCATACAACACCCAGTGCTCATCCCAAAAGGTGCCCTCCTCAATACCCATCACCCACCCTCCCTCCCTCCCACCCCCCATCAACCCTCAGTTTATTCTCAGTTTTTAAGAGTCTCTTATGCTTTGGCTCTCTCCCACTCTAACCTCTTTTTTTTTCCTTCCCCTCCCCCATGGGTTTCTGTTAAGTTTCTCAGGATCCACATAAGAGTGAAAACATATGGTATCTGTCTTCCTCTGTATGGCTTATTTCACTTAGCATAACACTCTCCAGTTCCATCCACGTTGCTACAAAGGGCCATATTTCATTCTTTCTCATTGCCACATAGTACTCCATTGTGTATATAAACCACAATTTCTTTATGCATTCATCAGTTGATGGACATTTAGGCTGTTTCCATAATTTGGCTATTATTGAGAGTGCTGCTATAAACATTGGGGTACAAATGCCCCTATTTTAGCACTGTTTCTTGCAAGTACAAAACAGTTGTGGAAAGAACCTTAGAGATGTCACTTTGACATTCAAAGATTAAAACCAACATCTTCAAGAAGAATGAGATTCCAAGGTATCTTCATCCATCTCCCCAACCCCACCTCACATATATCTATAAAGAAATTGAATACAGAGCCCCAGGGATTTGAAAACTTGTACACTAAATTTATAGGGATTTTTGCAAACTATAGTGTTCCATTATTGTAATAAAAATGACTCTTAGTGAAATAAGTCATACAGAGAAAGACAAATACCATATGTTTTCACTCTTATGTGGATCCTGAGAAACTTAACAGAAACCATGGGGGAGGGGAAGAAAAAAAAAGTTAGCGAGGAAGGGAGCCAAACCCCACCCCCCCCCCACAACCCCCCCCCCGCGGGCGGGGGGCGGGGGGGGGGGGCCCAAGAGGGGAAAGTGGGTGATGGGCATTGAGTAGGGCACCTGTTGGGATGAGCACTGGGTGTTGTAACCAATTTGACAATAAATTTCATATAAAAATGACTCTTTAAATTAGGATTGATAAATTATTTCCCTCTGGTCATTTTCTTTTATAACAAACAAAACAAAACAAACAAAAAGGAGGTTGTGGATGGAGAGGCTCTGCAGAGCATTTGTTTTTCTAACAGGGCCAGTTGAAGGATGATTTGTGAATTCCTTAATGTAGATACAAAGAAGTGGTAAAGTGGATCTTGTATTATCTCATGGTGAAAGCCTTGTGATTTTAAGGTTGCTCCAAGCTGTCCAGATTGACTACCTTTATTGCTGAACTGTGATTAGGCCCTCAAATAACCCTATGATTCAGATGTATTGCTGACCAGAATGACCTAACTTTAAACAGTGAGCTTTTAGAAATATCAAAACAATCAGGCTGATCATGTAGGATTTAAAGATCCTTGACCAAACCATATATTTGTGAACAGTTGTTTCTATTTTCCCTTATATGTTTACATCCATTTTATTCTACAGGGTGATCTTCTGTTCCAGGGAGAAAGTATCTCATCTGCAGAAAGGAAAGGCATCTGTGGTATTTGTGAAATGCCATGACAAGTCCCTGAATAAAAAGTCTGGCTGGTGAGCATTATGGACTAAAGCTCTCTGGATATCCTGAGCTTGCCCTCTGAGGGACACTGCTTCATACATTGCTCTTCATCTTGTGACTAAAGACTTGCACCGATTCTTGTTAGAATCTTCAGGTGGTCTTTCTTAGCCCTTCCATATTTACACATCAGACTTACCCATTTACTTTTCTCAATACTTCCTCTTTTTTCTTCCTCTTTCTGTTCTTTTATTTTACTTTTTGGGCTGCCACAAAATCTTCACTGCTGCATTTTCTGTATTGTATCTCTGCTAACTTTATGGATCCCGTATACAGAGCATATGACACAATAGTTATAATCATGGCTGAGGGTGTAGCCCCTCCCCAGATGTACCCAGGGGAGCAAAACATCAGCTGCAATACATAGTCCTTCTTTTTTTTAAGTTTATTTATTTTTATTTTGAGAGAGAGAGAGAGAGTATGCGCATGCACGCACATGCAAGAAAAAGTGGGGTAGGGTCAGAGACAGAGGGAGAGAGAGAATCTCTGTGCTGACAACACAGAGCTCCATATGCTGTTAGCATGGAGCCCCATGTGGGGCTTAAACTCATAAACCCTGAAATCATGACCTGAGCTGAAATCAAGAATCAGATGCTTAGTCAACTGAGCCACCCAGGTGCCCTCACATAGTCCTTCTTGATGCTCCAAGTGACAGCAGACTCTAGGACAGAGAGCCAAAAGGGCAGCCATCAAGTACCCATCTCAAAATCACCAAAGATGGGGAGCTAATGGAGTTAGAATTCAGGAGACGGTTCTCTTTTCTATCTCAAAGCAATCCCCTGGCCCTTACCTACATGATCTTTAAGACTAATCCACATGACAGTTGTCAGCCAAATCTTTCTAGAGTGTAATATTAAGTGGAGATTCACATGTGACCTTTCCCAGCCCCTCCTGAATTCTCACATTTCTCTGCTCATTCTCCTGCCAGATTCTGAGTACTAATGGGTTAAAGTAAAAGGGGAGGAAAACTTTGATCATGTCATACAAACCAGTGGCACAAGAAAAGAGGGGAAAGGCTAGGCACAACATAATCCTGATGTAGGAAAAACACTTACTTCTGATTTGTCTTCTCTCAGTTACATTTATAGACAAAAGTACAGAATAAGAATTTCCTAATCAGAAAATCATATTAAAAACCCTATAGGGAATATCTCTATTATTGTAAATTTCTATTTTATTATGTAATTTATCCATGGGTAATTATGGATTATATATAGATTAGGAAAAAATAGGCAAAAAGAAAATACAATCACTCTGACTCTCTCCTCCAGGGACAACTCCCAATTAACATTAAATGTATATTGTTTTAGACCTTCTCTATGTATATATAATATTTATATTTTTTTTTCATTTTTTACAAAAATAGAATTATGACATACTTTGAATGATAAGATGAAGCCACTTTATGAAAAACATTAACGTAAGAGCACTCAAGATAAATTTGAAATAGAGTAGTTAGTTAATGGTATTCAGCCAGGCAGAATAACTGAATATTTACCTAAGTGGAGACTGTTCTACTCAGAGGCTCATTGCTTTGTTTTCCCTCATCAAAAATCTGAGACAATTTCACATTTACTTTAACTTTTAGAAAAGGAATCCTATATGAAGCTTTAAACATGCATTTATGTCACATACAAACATACACAAAATCACATATACTTATATGTTCTCCCCAAATCAAATACAACTTTAAATCTCTGTGTAAATGTAAAAGCAAAACCTGAAAGATTAGGAAATATCTCCAGATATTTTAAAAGTATTTCTGGTCATACTATTTATATAAGTCACAATAATATATCTGAGAAAATCTAAGGGTACATTCCTTATCTGATAATAAGATTACTGAGACCACAGATATTTAGGCAGGTGTTTTTATACATCTGTACTTTATGTGGAAGTAATTATGAACAAGGCTTATAACATTCTGCAGTTTTTCTCTTCTGTGACTATATTAATCAAAATTTCTCTGTCTCTTTTCTTCTGATAAAACTCTTCAGAAGTTTCATTCCTCAGGAAAAGAAAATAATCAGCCATTTCATTTGGCAAGTTTTAGAATTAAGAAATCTTAAATCATATCTTGTTTGAAATCATTTGGTTCAGTCCTCTGAAAATGATAGTCCTTATTGGGATATAGCTAAGTAGGTATTAGAGTGTCTTTCATTCCTACAAACCTGCCATTATCCACATGTGATCCATCGTCCACATCTTTCCTGGGTATATATTCACAACCTTTGTACTGATCTTCCAGTTGAATGCTTTTATATCATGAAGGTGGGAGGAGGGATGATTGTAGAACACTAAAAAGGTAATAAATTCCTCCTCCTCTTCTGCTTTTTCTCAGAAACTGGGCAAATCTACAGAAGGAAGAACAGAACACGAATTCCATGAAGAATGGAGTAACTTTTACATCAGATGCCCAGTGCTTTGGATGTTTCAAAGACAAGTTCCCTGAGTATTAATCCCAGCTCTGCTTTGTTATTTTAGGATATAATCTCAAATACAAAAAAAAAAAAAAAAAAAAAAAGTGACTAATTCAATTTGAAGGGTATAGTGGCCAAATAGCACATCCTCCAACATCAAAAGATAGCAGATTTAAAAATCACTGTTTTGTCCTTTGAGAAAGAATTGAGAGCCATTTGGGCCCATGGTAAAATAATAAACCTTCTTTATATAGTAAGTTTAGTCAATAGCCTAAAGTTGAGTAGAATTTCATATTTTATTTGAAATTCTGCATTTTCTGGACTGATACCTTCTCAAAGTTTTCTCCAAGTCTGAATATAGAAAATGATTTTTTTTTTGGTGGCATGAGTTGCACCCATTAGTGCAAAATATGTTTTTTTTTTTTTTTTTTTTTTTTTGGTTTCTGTGTTTTCCAGGATTTAACCAGGGACTAGTGACTTGGAGAGAGGAATAGAAGATGAAGTTGATAAATCACTGAAACTTTAAAACATCCCTGCAGTTGGTTGCATCATTTCTAAGTTACTAATTAAAAGAAATATAAAATTTAGATCAATTCAGTCTTAATAGGCTTTATAGTTTAATCTCTCCCCCTCCTTTGTCTCAAGATTGTATTTTAACAGCATCTTCTATGAGCCTGCTATTGCCAGCTCACACATAATTTTAAACATGGGGAAAGAAAATGATACCACAATTTCATTATCAGATTTCTGAAATTGTTTTCATCAGTTTGGGGTCATTTAATATCTTATAAGCCCTATTCAATTTTAGGTTTATCTCAGTCATGCTTTAGTCATGCTTTGAGGATGTCTCTTTCTTCCCTGGTTTTGATAAGAAAATATGTGTTCAAGATCAAATTTTGAATCATGCAAGTTTTAGACAAGGACCATTTTACTAAGTTAGGAGATGAAAAAGTATATTTCCATAAACAGTGGTTAAAACCATTGTGGGCAATTAAAAGAATCCTCAATCGCCATAGTTACATGAAATGCCATGAGAGTTATTGTTTTTAACAACTAGTCAATAGTGAGTGAACAGTTATTTATAAATTAGGTATCATACTTTCAGAATGATTTTCTCTATATTAATATGAATTGATAAAGAAGTAAAATATCTCAAAGGCTCTTGCTGGGAATCCAAACTGTAAACGTGTGTGGATATCTTAACATATATTCACATATGAAGCCCTGCATATGTGTTTATTATTCAGCATAGCTTGGAAAGTAAAAAATCAAGAGATATAGTATTGGGACATATCGGAGTAGAAATTATTCCAGAGATGCCAAAACTTCAGCCTTTCTTTTGAGAAATATAGTTATGCCTATATAAAGTAATACAAACACTGTGATTAATGTCAGCCAACTTGGAATGAATTTTCTCTAAAAATAAAATGTTGGAGATTTGTTGTTGTCTTCCCCCTTTATTGCTAATTCATTAATTTCCTGGATTTGGGTTTTGAACAAGGATACATAAACTTGAAAAAATATGGATCAAATCAGTGTATGGGCCTAGGAACTCTGACTTTTGCAGACTTCACTATATATGTATATTAACAATGCTTTGGCTTTAAATGTTATTTATTAGCTGTAAATATATGTGTGTATAAGTAAAGGGAGATTATATATATTGGAATGGCTGTGACTATCTGCGTTTATAGACAGGTGGTGCTAACTTTTGTACATGTCTTTTTCAGTGATAGTCTCAATGAGCCAACTTACTCTGATGAAATAATACCATAAAGTAGGCTTCTTTTTTCTTTAAGGAAACTTAATTAACTATGTTCAGAAATGGAATCTGCTTTTAATAAAATTGACAAAATGTTATTTTAACACTAAGTCATTATTTTGTATTGTTTTAGTCCCCTAAATAGATATTTATTCTTAGGAAAGATTCATTCAGCATATTTTTTACTGAGTAAAATTTGCTGAGTAAAATTACTATGCTTGGTGAAAAAAATATAGCTTCTAAGAATTACAGTGCACATTGTGTTTTATTTTTATATTTACATTTGTACAAAGCCTTAGAGATCCTTTAAACCAACTATAAAAGAAAATAATACAGATTTTTTCCCTAAATAAAATACATGAATTTTACTTGTCTACACTTACTTTTTAAGTAGTAAAATATTAGATTAATTTAAAAATTTTTGACCATTTTCTAGAATGAATTATTTTTATTTCTGAGGTCTAATTATTACCTACAAAGTGAGTTTGTGTGATAAAATCAACTATTTGATATTGGAAGGTGAATTTTTTATAAACTTTTTTTGGGGAAAAGAATAACATACAGCCATATATGCATCTATGTAGGGATTGCTTCTTAGTACAATCAGGAAGAATTTAATCTACAGAACAATTGTTTCATTGGCCACTGGCCCAAAATTTCATGGTTAGTTAGGCATAAGACCTTCTGGACTGGGGTATCCCTGACAGGAAGAGACTCTCCAGTTTAAATTTTGCTCACAGCCCATCAATGCATATTGATATAACCAAAAAGGCAAATAATAACAGGAGTTGGTGAGGCTGCGGAGAAATGTAAGCCTGCATATATTGCTGAGGGGAATGTAAAGTGGTGTGGCCGATGTGGAAAATAGTTTGGCAGTGTTTTGAAAAATTAATTATAGAGTTTAACCCATATGACACACTGATCCCACTACTAGGTATACACCCAAGAGGAGTGAACCATATCTCCACAAAGCTTTAACACAAAATATTCATAGCAGCATTATTCATAAGAGCTCCAAATGGGAAGGAACCCAAACATCCATCAATGGGTGAAGACATAAAGAAAATGTGGTATGTTCATACAAAGGAATATTGTTGAAAAGTAAAAGAACAAACTGCTGATATCTGCTACAAATTGGGTGCATCTCAAACACTTTTGCTGTATGAAAGGACCAGATATGAAAGACTCCATATTGTATGATTTCATTTGTATGAAATCCAGAAAAGGCAAATTTATAGAGACAAAAAGTAGATTTAGCTGTTGCTTGGGAATGGGAGTTAGAAGAACAATTGACTACAAATGGATATAAAGGATCTTTTTTGGGATGATGAAAATTAGATGGTGGTGATGAGTGCACAACTCTGTACTTCACTAAAAAATATTATATTATACACTTAAAGTAGGTGACTTTTATAGCATGCCTCAATAAAGGTCTTAAAAATGTATATGCATAGAACTGTGGGGATAGACACAACCACTTTACATATATAACCTATGAAAACTATAATTTAGGGGCACTCCCCTTTTGCCCTTACAGAAGGAATCTTCAGTGTTTATCTAGTATCCTCTAACACCAGCCTTGTTTATCCAAAGGCCCAACACATGGCAGTTTGTTGTAAGTAAACACTGCCATATCCTTGTTCTATTAAAGATGTTTTATTTTAGTCCTGATTCAGTTAGACATAAATGGGCCCATTTATGATGCATTGATCATACTGTAGAAATGCTATCATAAAGATAACCATCCTCTAAATGAATCTTATTGGGAATTTCCTATATTTAGAATGTCATCAAATACACATTTTTACAAGTAGCATCTTTTTAGAAATCACTTAATACAATATTCTCATTTTTTAGTTGATATAATCAGCTCAGAGAGGTTAAGTGATTTGCCTGATGTTATACTGCAAGTATACACACATGAAACTAGAATGGATTTTTACTGGTTAATAACTTATGTTTACATTATCTGGCCTCCCAAATACATTAAAAATATGTGCTTAGGTTTAAATTTGCCTCATATACAGAGCACAGTTAATTCACCATTAGAAGATACATTCTTGGACTTCTACTAGGATAAGATGGATTTACATTAATCCCATCACACCTTTTGTGACTATTGACACAGCATGCATGTAATGGTGAAGCTTCCCACTAAGTACACTCTCTACCATGGATACCAGTAGTTAATTACACCTCAATTCTTTATTTTGTTATCACAGTATTGTATGCATAGAACTATGTGTCTGCAGATCAAACACATATATAGAACAACTGGAATAGGGTAGCAATTGGCCATTAAATTGGCCCTCAAAATTCCCATGCTTTGATATTCCCATCCTTGGGTAGTCACCTCCCACGTTGACCTATGTGAACAGTAACAGTTGGAAAAGGTACGTCATTTCTAAAAGTGATGGCTATAAAAGCACAAGCTCTGTTTTGGTTGTTCTCTCGTGCTGTCTCTGCTCTTGGGTCACTCACTCTGGAGGAAACCATGTTGTGAGTGTCCCTATGGAGAAACCTATTGTAGTGAAAGACTAACACCTCTTCTCAGCAGCCACAAGAATAAACTTGGAAGACATACATATGGCCAACAGACACATGAAAAGATGAACATCACTAATCATCAGGAAAGTGCAAATCAAAACCACAGTGAGATATCACCTTACACCTGTCAGAATGGCTAGAATTAAACAGACAAGAAAAACAAGTGCTGGTGAGGATTTAGAGAGAAATGAAGCTTCGTGCACTCTTAGTGGGAATATAAGTTGGTACAGCCACTGTGGAAAGCAGTATGGAGAGTCCTCAAAATAATAAATATAGAAATACCGTATGATCCAATGGTACCCCAAATGGGTATTTATCCAAAAAAGCCAAAAACACTAATTTGAAAAGATATATTCACCTCTATGCCATTGCAAAATTATTTACAATAGCCAAGATATGGAAGCCCATGTGCCTACCAATAAATAAATGGATAAATAAAATGTATATATATATATATATGTGTGTGTGTGTGTGTGTGTGTATGCATAAAGAAGATATATATATATATATATATATATTCACACACACACCATATATGTATACTATATATACACAACCATATATATCTACCATATATATATATCTATATGTATATATACTATATATATATCTATATGTATATATACTATATATATACTATATATGGTATATATAGTATATATATACTATATATATACTATACTATATATACTATACTATATATATACTATATATACTATATGTATATACTATATGTATACTATACTATATATATACTATACTATTCTATATATATACATATATACTGTATGTATATATGTATATATATATATATATATAGAGAGAGAGAGAGAGAGAGAGTATACACACATACACACACACACACACACACACACACACACACTGGAAACCATAAAAAGGATGAGATCTTGCTGTTTGCAACCATATGGATGGACTAAGCATATTGTGCTAAGTGAAGTAAGTCAGATAGAGAAAGACAAATACCATATGATTCACATATATCCAGAATCTAAAACCAAAACAAATGAATAAACAAACAAAAAGTAGAAACTTATTCATAAATACAGAGAACAGATTGTTGCCAGAGGGGAGGAGGATAGAGAGATAAGCAAAGTAGGTGAAGGGAAACTGGAGGTATAGACTTCCACTTATGAAATAAATAAAGTCAGGGGAATAAAAGGTACAGCACAGAGAATATAGTCATTTGTATTGTACTAGTGTTGCATGGTAACTGATGGTCACTACATTGATGGTGAACATAGTATAATACATATGCTTGTCCAATCACTATGCTGTACACCTGAAACTAATGTAACATTGCATGTCAACTGTAATTCAATAAAAATATTGTTTCATGTTACTTATAGTATTTATTATTCTTTTGATATCTTTTATGTCCTTAGTGATATTCTCTGTTTCATTTCTGATATTTCTAGTTGTGTCTTCTTTTCTTTGTCAGTTTTTGTAGAGGTTTGTCAGTTGTATTGATCTTTCATTAAAAAAATTTAAAATTAAAAAATTAAGTGATATGGGTCATATATTTTGCTTTCATAGTTACCTTAAACTAAAATAAGTATGGTTTTATACAATCTGTAACCTCCTAAGATATTTAGAGACAGATAGTTACAAATGTTCCAGACATAACCTCTCTTTTGTTCATTAGGGAAAGACTTTTGGAAAACAGAAGGAAACAGATGGATGCTGGAAAACAATTTTGCAAATTCTTAAAAAGCTAAACAAATGCCTACCATATAGTTCAGCCTATCTACTCCTAGAATTTACCAAAGACAAATGAGAGCATACGTTCATACAGACTTGATAGGAATGTTCTTAACAGATCTATATGTACTAGCTGGAAACTGGAAGCTGCCCAGTAATTATCAACATGTGAATGTGTAAAAAAAAAAAATTGTGAACTACTGATACACTCAAAAACATGAATGAATCTGAAAATAATTATGGCTGTGTGAAAGAAGCCAGGTAAGAGTACATACTGTATTATTTCATTTATCTAAAATTCTGGTAATTTCAAATTAATCTATAATGACAGGATGTTGATTAGTGATTATATATTCCATTTCAAGTTCTCCCGTCTTTGACCACTACTTCCTGTCTTTCTATCTAATCAATCTACTGTTCCCACCCCAACAATTCTTCAAATGTTTTTGAACCTCCAGTTCATTGATTTATCCATCTCTTGCTTCCTTACATATTCTCACTTTGATCCTTACTCAGATTTTAAGGCCCAAGGTCACTTTTGCTCTACTACCCAAACTTCCAAGGTCCTTGCCATTCTGTCCCTGAGTAGAATTTCTTACAGCAAAATGCAAACCCTGAATAAATCCAAATTATCACTTTCTCAATGACTGCATCTGAACAGCAGAGTGTGACTGGAAACACACAAATATGTACATGAGAGTGCATGTGTGCAGGCACACATAGACACACACACACACATCTCTTGTCACTATCTCACTTTAAATTTGTCACCATGTCATTTAAAATGTCCCTTATGACTGCTCAGTAATTCTACTACATTTACAAACATTCTTTTACT